CCCTTTGCTTTGTCTCACCAGTTCCAGGAAATACAGATGCTCTAAACTTTGGTATAGAGCTTCCTGAATGAGCTCTATAATACAGCTGTTCTGTAATACACCTCAGTGCACTGAAGTTGGGAAGTTGTATCCACAAGAGATGGGAACACTTACCTTATGAATTTCCCTTCTCTGAGTTGCTATCTGCCCTTTTTCTGTTGAAAATATTTGTCTCATGTACTTTGTCCAATTATGTGGTTGTGTAAGGTAGGAAGGAAACTTAGTACTAGTTACTTTATCATAACTGGTATGGAAATGAAATTATTCTTGTAAGTATTTACCATTTTTACATATGAAAAGTAGCACTTTAATATTCTTGGTTATTAGTGAGGCATCTTTTTTCCTTTTTGTTGCTTTCTGTAATTGTTTTCCTTTAGAGCAAGTCATCTTTCTGGGTTTATAAGCTATTTATACTTTTGCTATAAATAATTATTTCATGTACCTTTCCATTTCTTTTAGAATTTTTATCTTTTAAAAATTATATATAGGGGCCGGGGTTGTAGCTCAGTGGTGCTGCTCCTGCCTGGCAAGCTCAAGGCCTTAAATTCAATTCCTGGTACCAAAAAATAAAAATTATATGGAAAAATTCTTGTACATATATTCTTGCATATTTTAATCTGTTTATAGATTTTTGTTTTTTACTTTAGAAGGTTTTAGCTTTCAGGTAGAGAGATCTATCAAAATTTTTCTTCTGTGGCTTTTGTTTTATGGTCTTTCACACATCAGGATTATAAAATACTTGTTTTCTTTTTGTATTGGGAATTGAACCCAAAGCTTTCATGCTGAGCTATATTCCCAGCCATTTTTTATTTTTAGTTTTTTGCTGTTCTAAGGCAGAATCTTGTTAAATTGCCCAGGCTGGGCTAAAACTTTTTTTTTTTTGGTACCAAGGATTGAACTCCAGACCTTGTGCTCTCGAGGCAGGCGGTGGAACCACTGAGCTAAATCCCCAGCCTGCTGGGCTAAAACTTTTGATACTCTTGCTCAGGCACACCCCCACCCAGAGTGCTCAGATTACAGGCATTTGCCACCACACCCAGCTAATTTCCTATATTTTATTTAGGACAATTGTAGGTTTTCAAGATAACTTGAATTTATTTTATAAGTGATATGGGATCCAACTTTATGTTTTTAAAGTGGTTCTTTTTCAAAAGTTGTCCCTAATACCACTTATTTACTAGTTTATCCTTTTGCACAGATTTAAAATTCTTTTATTATGTATCAAATAAGCAATAGTCTTTTTCCAGACTCTGTTTTGTATTCCAGTTTTCTCTATATCAGGTAACATATCAGTATCAGTGTTTAAGTTGTTTGTCTGTTTTGCGAAAAGTTCTTGTTATGTAGTTCAGAAAGGCTTTGAACTCACTTTGTAGCCCAGGCTGGCCTTGAACTTGAGGCAATCCTGCCTCAGCCTCCCAAGAGGTGGGATTATAGGTGTGCACCACCACACCCAGCTAAGTAAGTATTTTTTTAAACATTTTAACAAAAAAGTCATTCTTTATTGTACAGATTTTTAAAAAATTAACCCTGGAGTTGTATATCCAGTTCAATAAAACTTAACTAACAATTCAATTTACAGAAATTAGTTTAAGGCTAAGGATGTTATAAAGTAATGTTTCATAATAGTTTAGTGTCTCAAGATCTTATAAACTTGGAAATATGCAGGTGACACATCTGAACACAGGGTTCACAAGCTGCAGAGGTGGATCTTTCAGCCCTCTAGTGATACATAGGCTTAAGTTTGAATCCCTACTCTAGAAGGAATGATTCAGATATTTAATAATAACCCTTCTAATCAAGAATATTTTTAACTTATAGCTGAGAAAGATTTGAATGCTACCAAGTTGTAAATCACCCAATGTAGTTTGTTTTTAAATGCCCTTCTTATATGCACACATGCATATACAAACATGGACAAGAAAACATATATGGCATACTTACAAGATGGATAAAATATTGACAATAATGCATAATGGAGGTACATTAAACATTTTTCTCTTTATGTATAGGTAAAATTTTTCATAATAAATTTAAAAAATAAAATTAACAACCACAGAGGCCAGATAAACTTTTGCTTAAAAGAACTAGAAAACTGGATGTTTTAGATATTGAACAGTAGGCACAGTAGGACTGAGACTCCTGAGAAGAAGAAACTAAATTAGATGAACCTCACATTTGCATCAGATGGTTGCTTAGAGACCAGGCCACAGTCCATGGTATAGGAAAAATAACCTAAGCAAAGCGTAATAGTCTTACTGAGATGAGGAGACACAGTTCAGGAGACCATGGCAACAAGAATTTCCAAGACAAAGTACCAGAAAAGGATGAGTTGCATAAAGAGAAATCTACAGGTTGGCACATATATGAGAGGAAGCTACCTAAGGCCAGGAAAAGGAATAGCAAAACAATTCCTTGAGTTCACAAAAGACCAGGAATAGTTTGTGTTCACACCAGTGCGGGGCGGGGGGGCGGGGGGGAGGTATTATAAAACATGGGACATTTCATACAGTCAACAGAAGATTTCACTCTTGTACTGAGAATGAATTTGCCCTAGACTAAAGGCTGCTCTGGACCTGGCCTAAAAATATTTATAAGTAAATCTCAAAAGAATCTATTGATTCCAAGGAACTTACCTTCATTTCAGAAGAAAACACAGGACTGTGTAATACAACAAAGTCCAGTAACTGTTGATATAATATTAACAATGTCTAGTACCTGAATTCATACTTAACAAACCTGCAAGGAAAAAAATATAACTTCTACTATAGAAGAAAATCAATTTTTTTTTTTTTTTTTGGTCCTGGAGATCGAACTTGGGTCCTTGCACTTGTGTAGCAGGCGGTGAAACCACTGAGCTAAACCCCTGGCCCTGAAGAAAATCAATAGTAGAATCAGAAATGCCAAAGATTTAGAACTAGCAGATAAGCTATGTTATATGTTTTATATTCCACATGTTCAAAGAAGATAAGAGAACATATTTTTTAAAATACCTTTATGACATTTCTAGATATCAGAAATATAATATATGTAACCAAAAGTTCACTGAATGGGTTAGACACTGTAGAAGGAAAGATCAGTAAACTTGAGCACAGAAATAAAAACTATCCAAAGTGAAGTACATAGTGTGAGGGCCGGGGATTTAGCTCAGTGGTTCCGCCGTCTGCCTCACAAGTGCAAGGTCCGGAATTTGATCCCTGGTACCAAAAAAAAAAAAAAAAATTGAATGTGAAGTATATAGTGTGAAAAAAACTGGAAGAAATGAACAGAGCATCATTGACATTTGGGGTAATACAAAATGGCCCAACAAAGATATAATTGGAGTCTAAGATGTTGAACAATGTGTAGAGGCAGAGCCAAATTTTAATGTTAAAAGAAGTCCTTTGGGTAGAAGGAAAATGATATTAGTTGGAAACTTAAATCTGCACAATGAAAGAACGAGTGCCAGAAATGGTAAATTGTTGGGTAAAGATGGTATCTTTTAAAAGAGAGATAACTTACCAAGAAAAAAGGGAATTGCCAGAAAAAAGTGGAATATGAAAAAAGTATAAAGATCAATTAAAAGTGATGTCCTAATGTTAATTTCTTATTTTGACATATGTACCATAGTAATGTTCTATGTTAACATTAGAGGGAATTTAGTAAAGAGTATAAACAAACTATACTATCTTTATAACTTTTCTATAAATCTAAACCTATTCCAAAAGTAAATGCTTATTTAGCCAGGCATACTGGGACATGCCTGTAATTCCAGGTACTTGAAAGGCCAAAGCAGGAGGAGTGCAAGTTCAAGCCTAGCCTGGGCAACTCGGAAATATACCCTGTCTCAAAAATAAAGGTTGAAGGCGGGAAGTGGCCCAAGGGTAGAGTGCTGGCCTAGCATGGCCTCAACTCCCAGTACCTTAAAAAAAAAAGTTTATTTAAAAATAAAAAATAATAGACTATTTAAAACATAAATAATCAGATGTATTATGGATTTATAGCTAAACCCGTGTGTAAAACTAAAAAGTATGGCACCCATATCACGAAAGACAAGAAAATGCAATGGAAGTAAGTATATTATGGTATAGCTCCTTCTACTACACATGACTCGGAATAAAACTATTTTAACGTAGACAGTGGTAGGTTAAAGATGAATGTTTCTAGAGCAAACACAAGAAACAAAGCAAAAACCAAGATAAGTAGTTAAAATCCAATAGCAGAAATAAAATGGAAGCATGGGGGAAATTTTTATTAATAAAAAAATAAAAAGCAGGTGAGACAGGAGAAAAAGGTAGCAAAATGATATTCTTAAACCCAGACATAGCAGTAACAACATTAAATATAAATGGGCTAAACATCCCAGTTAAAAAGCAGAGATTAGGACTGAGAGCATGGATCAGTGATAGGGTGCTTGCCTAGAATGTGCAAGGACCTGGGTTCCATTACAGGGAGTGGAGGCAGAGATTACTAGACTAGATAAACATAGAATGAACTATTCATTTATTTTAGCATGGATGAATTATAAAAGCGTTATGCTAAGTAAAAAAGACAAATGATTTCATTCTATATGTTAATACATATTCACATGCAATTCTAGAAAAGCCAAAAAGCAGATTTGTGGGTTCCCTGGGTCAGCACTAGAGGAAGGAAATCAACTGAAAAGAGATAGGAAATTTTTAGCTGTGATGAAAATGTTCTATATTATGATTGCATGGGTGAGTTACAGGACAATATGTTTGTCAAAAGTTATCTACTCATTCACTAAAAGTGAATTTTATTGTGTGTAAATTAGCTCAAATGATTGATATCATAGCTAATTAATTATATGCATGAGAGAATTAAAGGATGAATAAAAACTTTTAATAAAATGAAAAAAATCAGTACTAGAAAACAAAACACCTCTTTAAAAATAGTTAAAAAGTTAATATGATTTTTTAAAACAAGCTATAATTGTCTCTACTACATTTTTTTTTAACTGTCAGGTTGAACTAAAGCGACAGTACAATGACCATCATTCAAAATTGAGAGGACTTTTACCTGGCCGCCAATGGTATGAAATTCAAGCATACAGGGCCTTAAACCAGGCCCTAGGTAGGTAAGGAAAGTCAAATTTATTATAACTGTTACTTCTGTCATCTGCAGCCAGGGCCACATGTAGAACTAGTATTGCTGTTTTTAAAAAAATAAAAGTGGTAAAATTCAGCCTAACTAGAATCCTAAGAAGATACATTTTAAATGTTAGATGTCCCAAGAGCAAGTTGAAAAGAGTAAATAGAATAAATTAGAACCAAATTTTAAAACTCAACATTTGCTCAAGTTTAAAGAAATTTTATGGTTGGTTAAACAATGAATGGCATGCAAAGGTGCTCAGTAAATGCTGGTTAAAGGAAGCTCACCAACAAACCAAAAAGTATTGTCATGTGAACATCAAAACCCAGGCTGTGATTTCACAGGTAAAAATCATTCATTCTTCCATCCCAAAAATGTCAGGGAACAAAACTGAGATACCAGCCAGTGTGAGGAGTCATTCTATTTACAGAGTCTACTTTTAGTCACTGAAGCTGTGTAGAATCTTTGTATCTGTTAAATTATGTTTATCAAATATAAACAAAATCTATTACACTGCCCTGTAGGGTCTTGAAATTGCATCTTTTTTTTTTTTTTTGGTACCAGGGATCGAACTTGGGACCTTTTGCTTGCAAGGCAGGTGATGGAACCACTGAGCTAAATCCCCAGCCCTGCATCATTTTTTAGTCTTCTTCAATGTAAAGAAGGCAATTGATGGGAAAACATTTTTCATTTTAATATCATTTGTAAGGTTTAGATAGTTTAAATCTATACTTTCCTGCTGGGGATTTAGCTCAGTGGTCCCGAGTTCGATTTCTGGTACCAAAAAAAAGGTGAACCATTTTTCTCTTCTCTGTTTTGTTAACTTCAATACCTCAGATGTAGGACGCTTTAAACACAAGTCAAAGTGAAGCCGAAATAGGGTGACATCCTGACTTTGCATTAATTGTAAACACTCTTTTATGGCACAGACAATATTCATCTTCTTTCCATCTTGTCTAATGTTATATGATCTGTTGCCTTGGAACCTACAGTCTACCTATAAAAGTACCAAAATACAATGTCATATGAAATTTACATTTTTAAAGTCTTTGTGGAGAAACTGAACATTTATATTATTATTCTTTCACTCAAAGTCTATGATGGTAAAGGAATAAAAAGTCAAACCTAAAAAGTTACAAAGTGAGAGAAGGGGTAGTAGCAGACAAAAGAGATCATTAAAATTTGAATACCAGAAAATAGTTGAGTGATTTAATGGCTTAGCAGCCAAGAGAAAGCTGAAATTTAAATCTATAGAGATGAAAGTTAAAAAGGACCTCCAGATTCATTCTTGGAAAAGCTTAGGACTTAAGGCATTCTAAAGTGTCAATGAAAGTAAGGTTAAAAATAGAAGTATTGGTTGATAGGTTAGTATAAGAAGCAGATGGACAGCCCCACTCCACCCAGATTTACTTCTTGAAAGGCTGAACCAAAGAGTCTGTATTGTTCCACACCCAAGGAAGAATTTATGATGGAAGTTAATACATATTATATATGGAAATTCTGTATACTGAATGTGAGAACTCTGTTCTCTTGTTTTCTCAGCTCTCTGTAGGCTAACAGTTATTCATCTCTCCTAGACCTAAATATGTAGACCTAAATATTCTTTTTTAGGGAAACTGACTAGTCCATAAAACTGCCCACAGAGTGGTCCTATTGCTTCCAAATTACTCTGCAGCAAAAACCTCCCAGCCTGTAAGCTTTCCGCATATGTACAGAGTTGCCAGTCAGTGTTTTAATGCCTTACTCTTAGGGACAGTCTTTGCTGGATATTCAAATGATGTCTCTGACATAAAAAACGGTCCAAAATAATGGCAAAACAATTTGAACAAAACAACAAAAACAGGGTAAAGAACTCTAAAGAGCCGGACAGTATGTATTGTAGGATTTGCAGCATGTAGGAATATAAGATTACTTCCTTAACTTCACTAAAGAGATCTACGATAACATCACATTTAAATGTGAAGATTGAAAGTTTTCCTTTAAGTTTAAATTTTTGTTTTTCAAAGCACAGTATTAAGAGATAGAAGGATGGGCCGAGGATTTAGCTCAGTGGTGCCGCCAGCTGCCTCACAAGCACAAGGTCCTGAGTTCAATCCCTGGTACCAAAAAAAACGAAAGAAAGAAATAGAGGACTAAATTAAAAATTTTTTTTTTTTAAATACAAGGACAACTCATATGCAGAAAATATTTCCAAATCATGCATATCAGGATCCAGTAGCTATATTTAAAAAACTCCTATAATTTAACAGGAAGAAAAAATGTACAATTAAAAAGTGGACCAATACTTTGAATAGACATTTCTCCAAAAAGAAATACACAAATAGCCAGTAAATACATAAACAGTGCTCAAATTATTGGCCAATAGGGAAATACAAATCAAAACTATAATGAAATACTATGTTATTATTACAATTTAAAAAAAAGATGTACAATAACACATGTCAGTGAGGATGCAGATATTGGAATCCTCATACATAACTGATGGTAATGTAAATTGTGCAGCTGCTTTGGAAAGCAGTATGGTAGTTCCTCAAAAAGTTAAACATAGAGTTATCATATGACCCAGCATTTCCACTCCTATGTACATATCTAAGAGAATCAAAAACATGTATTCATACAGTAACTTGAACACAAATGTTCATAGCCACATTATTTGTAATGACCAAAAAAGTGGAAATTATGCCAATGCCCCCTGACTAAATGGGGAAACAAAATGTCATATATCCATATAAAGGAACTTCAGTCATTAAAAAAAGAATGAAGTATTGATACATGATATGAGTGAAACTTGAAAACATCATGCTAAGTGAAATAAACCAGATAGAAAAATGTCATGTATTTTATGACTCTAGTTAAATGAAGTGTCTGGAATAGGCAAATCTACAGGGACAGGAAATGTATTAGTGATGGCCAGAGGTAATGGGGCATAATAGGGATAACTTGGGGTGACTGCTAATGAATACAGTGTCACTTTTTTAAGATGATAAAAAGCTCTATAATAGTGCTTTATGTTGTAAAACTTGTAAATATATTAAACCTCTTGTACATTTAAAATTTTTAATATTATTTTAAAACAGACAAATATTTGGAAAAATACTAGTAAATTAAATTTGACAATCCATAAAAACAGTAATGTATCGGGCCGGGGATTTAGCTCAGTGGTTTTGCCGCCTGCTGCGCAAGCACAAGAACCTGAGTTTGATTCCCCGGTACCAAAAAACCCCCCCAAAAAACAGTAATGTATCATGACCATATGAGATTATACTAGGAATGCAAGGCTGGTTCAGTATTTGAATTGACCAGTATACTTTACCATGTAAGAGATGAAATAAGAAAAACTACATGATTATATTAATTGCATTGTAAAAATTTTTTTAACAAGTTAAACATTCATGATTAAAAAAAAAACTGTTGTCTAACTGTTCAAAAGACAAGCACATAAAGGGCCGGGGATTTAGCTCAGTGGTTTCGCCGCCTGCTGTGCAAGCGCAAGGACCCCAGTTCGATCCCCGGTACCAAAAAAAAAGACAAGTACATAAAACCTGAAATTATTTAAAATACGTAAGATTAAAAACCAGTCTATGTAGTTAAGGAAGAAGGTCTTGGAAAACATATTTTAGGTTTCAAAACAGGATGCACATAACATATTGGTTAAGAGCTGCAGTAGTCGTCAAATGTTGAGACTTTTTTATACCTACTTTGGTACATTGGATTAGGTAATTTATAACTCTTCTCATAATAACAAATTGATTATAGGAATGTGTAACTGGTGCATCATTGATTTTCTTAATTTTCTGTCTGTCCCTCTAGAAATCTGACTTTTATATTCAATGATACATATTTTTTATTTCCCTCTATTTTTTGGTAGGTGTATTCGACACAAAAATGACTGGGGTGCTCTTATTCTAGTGGATGATCGCTTCAGGAATAACCCAAGTCGCTATATATCTGGTAAGATTGCGAGCTGGGTTTAGAGTAATAGCTGGTAACTATCTTTATGTTTTCACTGTAGTTAAAAAACAAACAAACAAAAAAACACGACATGAGATTTGCCTTCTTAATTTAGTTAAGTGTGCAGTATAATATTGTTAACTACATGGACAGTTGTATGCCAGGTAACTAAAACTTTTTAATCTTGCATAACTGAAACTTTAAACTGATTGAACAGCAATACTCTTATTTCCCCATCCTCCACACCCTAGTAACCACCTTTCTGCTTTGAGTTTGACTACTTCACATACCTCATATAAATTGAATCGGGCGTTTGTCCTACTGTCACTGGGTTGTCTCACTGAATATACGGTCCTCAGGGTTCATCCATGTTGAAATTCCTGACAGGATTTCCTTCTTTTCTAGCGTTGAATAATAATTTCCTGGTAGGTATATATCATATTTTGTCTGTTCATCTGTAAATAGACATTTAGGTTGTTTCTATCTATTGGAAATAGTGAACATGGGAGTACAGATATCTCTTCAAAAATCTCTATTTCAATTGTCAGTGTAGTTAACAATATTATACTATACACTTACAAAAGTAAGGCAGATCTCATGTAATATATTTTTTTTTAACTACAATGAAAACACAGAGATAGGATTTCTGGGTCATAGGATAATTCTAAACCAATAGATATTTACCAAGACCGATATTATTAAACTCTTCCACTGTGTTTTCTTCAAACAGTTTTACAATGTCAGATTTAGATTTAAGTCTTGAATATATTTTTAGTAAAATTTTGTGTACTGTATAAGGTAAAGATCTAATTTTGTTCTGTTGTATGTGGATATCCTGTTTTCCTAGCATTGTGTGTTATTTTATTTTATTACTATACGTTTGCAATTCATGCCGTTTACAGTCATCTCAGGGTAGTAGTTACATGGACATACAGCTTTTTTTTTTCTAATCCCCTTCCTCTTCCCTCCCCCACCCCCCTCTGGTTCCCTTATCACCTTTTACATACTTACTCATATTGTTGGTCTTAGTTCATGTCATGGCATGTAAAATTTACATTGATTGGAGTAATTAGGATCCTGTATGAGACATCTTTATTCCTCTCATTTACCATTCCCCTCCTCACCTCTTGTCCTGTTCCCTTGGACTACTTCCTTATTGGACAAGATCTGTCTCCTTGTCCCTTTGTATCCATCCTTTATCATTTTCTTTTGTTTGTATTTTGCCTCACTCAAATGAGAGGTACCATATGGTATTTAAGCTTGTATGTCTGATTTATTTCACTCAGTATTATATTTTCCAGATGCATCCATTTTCCTGCAAATGCCTCAATTTGTCATTCTTTATAGCAGAGTAGTATCCCATTATATATAGACACATTTTGTTTATCCAATCATCAGTTGATGGGTATACAGACTGCTTCCAGGATTTAGCTATTATGAATTGTGCTGCTATAAACATCGGTATGCATGTATTGCTGTAGTATGATAGAGTCATTTTTTCAGCTCACAACATTCTTTTTTTTTTTTGGTACCGAGGATGGAACTAAGGACCTTGTCCTCACAAGGCAGGCGGCAGCACCACTAAGCTAAATCCCCAGCCCTGATTGTGTCATTTTTTGATGGCATATCTTTCCCATTTGTGTTTATGGCACCTTGTTGAAGAGCAATTGACTGTATATTTGTGGTTTTATTTCTGAGCTCTCTATTCTGTTTCATTGGTCTGCATGTCTTTATGCCAGTACTATACTTTTTTTTTATTACTATAGCTTTGTAATATATTTTAAATCATATAGTATGATGCCTGCAGCTTTGACCTTCTTTCTCAATACTGTTTTGTCTGCTTATGGTCCTTTGTCATTCCATATGAATTTTAGGCTTATTTTTTCTATTTCTATAAAATATGCTACTGAAATTTTGGCAGAAATTGTATTGAATCTGTAGATTGCTTCCAGTAGTATGGACATTTTAACAATATTAAGTCCTCCAGTATGTGAGTATCTTTCCATTTATTTGTGTTGTCTTTAATTATTTTCAGCAGTGTCTTTGTTTTTTGGTACCAGAAATTGAACTCAGGACCTTGTGCTTGCCAGGAAGGTGCGGCACCACTGAGCTAAATCCCTGATATGGATTTCTCTTCTTGAATCTGGATGTCAGGTTTTTTTCTCGTTTTGGGAAGGTTTTAATTATTATTTCTATAAGTAAGCTTTCTCTCCAAATTCTCAGACTATATATATTGCTTTGGTTGATGGTATCCAATAACTCTCTTAGGCTTTCTTCACTTTTTTTTCCAGGGTTTTTTTTTTTTGGTCCATTTTGCTCCTCTTGACTACATAATTTGAAATTACGCGTCCTAAGAATTTACTGACTCTTTCTTTTGCTTAGTCATGTCTGCTGTTGAGCCCTGCCAGTGAATTTTTCAGTTGTTATTTCATTTTTCAGCTCCAGAATTTAGTTAATTCTTTATTTTTATTCTTTCTTTGCTGAAAAACCAATTTTTTCTGTGTCATTTTATTGAGCTCATGAGCATCCTTTTGATAGTTTTTTCAAATCTTTTGTCAGGTCATTGACATACCTCTATTGCTTTTGGGTGAATTTCTGGAGATTTATCTCATTCCTTTGAACAGGCTTTGAATAGGTTATTTCCCCTATTTCTTTGTATTCCCAGTAACTTTGTATTGGTATCTACACACTTGAAAAAACAGCCCCTTCTCAGTGTCTACATACTGGCTACAAGGGATGGGGATTTAGCTCAGCGGTTCCACTTACGGCTTCACAAGCGCAAGGTCCCATGTTCGATCCCTGGTACCAAAAAAAAAAAGAAGAGGAAGTGAAACAGAAACCTGGATATTTAAAAAACTGAAAAAAGAATACTCACATACATACTGGCTTCACACAAGAAAAGACCTTCACTCATCAGCCCTGCTACGCGTTCTGGGAGCCTCTCAGAATTTTACCATGGATCTATCTCCCTGGATTTATGTGAATAGATTCTTTTAACCTTATTTTTTTTTTTTTTTACATATTTGTCATACATTCCTCACATTCGATCACATTCCTCATAGGGAATTTGTGCCTGTACATAACACATTAGATTTTTAATAGAAGGGGTTTTTTTCTACTGGGCATTATACTCTCTTGTGTTGTGGGGTTTCTAAAGCAGCAGCAGCCCAGCTCTTCCATCCTCATGCTGTCCAACATGTAAAGTATGCCAGGTCCGATCCATGTCACATGACCCAGTCCCTGGGGAGCTTAATGAAAAGCCAAGACACTGGACACACTCATCTCTTTCTTCCTCCTGAAATGGCCACTGAGCTTCATTGGCCCACCTTCTCCCCCACACCATGGTTCCTCTGGAGCAGCATTATGCTGCTTCACTCTTTTGTTCTCAGTGGTCTCCAGGCATGCAGAGTATCCTAGATCGTGTCAGCATCTCAAGATGGGCAAGGCGGAAGCAAGTGCCTTGCAGAGCCTCCCACGAAAGTCAAGACTTTGGACATATAGTCCAGCCTTCTCGCCTCTATTCAAGGAGAAGCAAAAGCTGGGACTTCACTCTCAATCATGTGGCACTGCTCCAATGTAGGGACTATAGTGAGAAGGTGCCACAAAATTTCTTACTTGCCTTGATACAGCTGGTTTTGTGCTAGCCTGCATTCAGGAGCCTCTTACCTGATTTCTGGATTTCTCATAAAGGGATTTGGTCCATATAGTGTTGAATCTATTTCTTCATAGGAAGAAGTTGGGTCTGGGGCTTCCTATTCCACCACCTTAAATCTTTTGTATTTAATGGCATCTGTTTTTAAAGATAAATAGAAAAATTGAATTATTGAAGTAAACATGACTAATTTCCATTGACTAGAAATCTAGTTCTTTAGTTCTCATTTGTTTATAATTACAGAAATTCTTTATAAATGAAAATTTGTTTAGTTATCAACAAAGATTAAATCAGCTAGGATTCTCCAGTCTTATAGCATATAAGATATAATGCGATAATATAATAATGCTTTATTTACCACTTTCAGGAGAAAAGCTCTTCAAAGAAATGAATTTTTGAAGAAATTACAAATTTTTACATTTAAGTAAACAAAATGCATCTCTTTTGGTTGCTTAATGTTCTCTTACTTTGGGTTATGTTGAAGTTGTATTTCTTTGCTTGTTTCTTTAGAGATACTTCAGTTGTTTTAGCATTTATGTTAGTTAAAACTAGTATTTTCTTTTTTTTTTTGTACCAGGGATTGAACTCTGGACCTTGCGCTTGCGAGACAGGCTCCTGAACCACTGAGCTAAATTCCCAGCCCAGAACTAGTATTTTCTGAAAGTTCGTAAAACACAACTACAGCAAGACCAAGTAGATGATCATTTTACCCCCACTCAAATCAACAAATATCATGTGCTTGTGGTTTTCTTTTTTT